TTAACTTTAAGCTTTATCAATTTATGTCTTAAATATTTTAATTTTTTAAAATATACATGTATCTAATTCGCAGGAAATTTTGAGATAATCTTTTTCATAATAACTGACCGATTGATCCCTTTTTACAGTATACGGTACTTACGGAAACTCTCTACAGTTGATGTCACATTTCTGACGTCTTTCTGCAATTCCTTAATCACTTGTAGCTTTGTATTACCATCCTTCTCCTTTCCCATTATGTGCTGGTCTAATTCTTCTTGCAATCGCTGTTTCTCACGTCTAAGATCAGTAACATTGTTTTCCAGTTCTTGTATTTTACCCAGTGCCTCGGACATATCTTTTTTCACTGTAATTATAAAGGCCCTCTTGATATGTGACAAACGAGTGAATTTTATTGTCAAATTTTGTTGTACCGTTACCTTATTTTGATGCCATTGCAAACACTCATTTATTTAAAATAAGTATATATTTGAACTCTGTAGTATTAATTAAAATAATCAACTAAACCATGAAATTGAATAGGATCTTATAACCATAAACAAACCCTGGACAATTTCCTCCGTCTTGAATTCAACAGTATAATTACGAAAGATTTCTTCTACAGTTGAGCGAAGACCGTTATGTAGCTGTATGTTTTCTTGTAATGTTTCACCTTCACTATTGTTCATTTTTATATGTTGGTCCAATTCCAAGCGCATTCTTTGATTTTCAAGCTTAATATTAGCATTACTCTTTTCTATTAATTCCATCTTTACCAGAACGCTGGTCATATCTTTTTTCACTGTTAACATTTCATTAACAAACACAGACATCGGATGGACAAGTCGTATTAAAGTTTCCTGACTTAATTGCTGCTTCAGATGGTAAATGTCTTCAAGTAACGATGTGTTGGTACAAACAACTGTTATTGGGTTGTTCTCGGATTTCAGGTCCGTCAAAAGCGAGTGTGTCGCTGACATGGATATAGAAATCCAACAAAAGAGCAGATTGAAAAATAGCATTTTTGGATGTGTAGATATAAGGAGTTATCACTTATGCTCCGTAGATATACTGCCTAATACTCGATGATGTACAATGAAAGTATTTATGAACTATATAAGGTATCACACCGCTAGTTGTTCAGTCAAAATATAGTTCCAAACAAAAACCTTTATTTTTTGTCCTGCATTTACAATCTTACATTTACCTTTCTAATTTAACAATTTGGTATCTGTAATTGAGATATTCATTGTCCTTTGTAAGCTAAATAATATTTCTAAAAGAAACTATTTTTTGGCATATGATACCGCTTATTTCCTGTAGTGTACTTGGGATATGTACAAACAATTATTTCTTCATGAATTTAACCCGATTTTCAAAAGTGTTTTGTTATAAATGTTACCAGGAATCATGGATGGGGGATAGTTTGATACTAGTGGCTATGTAGCAGCTGGAAACACATCCGAGAATTTTAGCATAAAAAAGTCTAAGTTACTACAGTCAAACCTCGTTATCTCTAACTCAATGGGACCGAGAAAAAATTCGAGGCAAACAAGGATTCGAAAATCCAGGATAAAATGTTTAAAAACAATAAGGGGTTGGGATTTTAAAATCACTTCGACAAATCCATGGAATTAGAGATATAGGTTGTTCGAGATACAGAAGTTCAACTTTATTTCTTAATCTAAATGTTGACTTATTCATTGAAGCAGAAGAACTGCAAGATAAGTTATTTCTTCATTTAAACATGATTTTGAAAACAGAGAAAGAGAGTTCATATGTATCAAGGAAACTGCAATTTTCTATCAGCTTTCACCCCAAATATACATGTACAGATTTGCACATATGATATCTGTACTCCCCAGCCATATCAATTGACCCACAATGTTTATTACTACTTAATCCTCTTGGTTTTTCCTAATGAAGAATCCTTAGCAATACTTTACACTCTCACAACACGCATTAGCATTTTTTGAGGTTTTAGATAAGTCATGAAAGGAAATGCATTTGACATAGATAAAACATAAATAATGTTGAGCCGTTGAATTTTGGTCTTATTTTTCACTTTTTCAAAAAAAAAACAAAAAAAAAAAAAAAAACAAAAACAAAAAAACATATTCTTGCAAAGAATACTTTATTATTGTCCAGGTAACTCATTACATTACTCATCTGGGTAATGATTATCATAATCAAACAGAAATAAATATCTTGAACTAGCCGTACAAAAACTATCTATTAAAAAATACTTAAAACAAACATACAGTGTATTTTTTATTAAAAAGGAAACTTAATACTTGTAGGTAATATGTAACATGATTTTAAGTGGTCAACTAAAAGTACAAATTCTAGTGTAACTACTAGTGGTAATATTTTAAAAGTTGGAGTATATACACTAGTCTAAGATTATCTCGGACTATAATTCTTATGTATATGGAATTGTACAAAAGCACTGCCTTAGTGAATCTGAAACTGAAATTGAATATGGTTTTATCAAATACTTGTGATGAACAGCAAGTAATTTTTTTTTACATATATATACATGCTAGAGATAGAACAAAATATCAAAGTCTCTACAAAAAATAATTTTTAAGGTCTAGAAAATATAATGAGATCTTGGAAGTGTTATGTACAAGGGTAACTGTACCGCATTCTTGGAACAATGGTACCAAAACTCCTATCACTAAAGGTTGTTCTTTTCTCATAAGAAGAATATAGCAGTTGTTTTCAAAGTTTACAATTTGGAGTCTGTTTTTATAAAAGTTCAATTAAATAAGCTGCGCTCCCAAAATGATACATGAAAATTAAAACGTTGAATATCTTTCAGATTTGATAGGTAGCCTATGTAAATGAAAAGGAGCCACCATAGATCTGTCAGATTGCTTTTTACATTTATTTAATACAGGCTAAGCATACAAGTTCTAAAGTCGTTACAGTTTGCATATTTTGCCCATAAAATGCAGATAAGATAAAGTAGTTATGATTCAAAGTCGTTAAATTTTGCTTATTGTACTCTGTCTATAACAGATAAGATATATGTACTTAAGAAGCAAAGTGTTTTACACTTCTAAGTTGTTATGATAAGCTCTAAAACCCTTTAATCTTCTATAATCACCTAAAATACTTTGAAAAGTTCAGGAAATCCTGTTTGGAGAGTGTCAATTTGAATATGTCCCTCTTAATTTTTTACACATATAATATTTGCAACTAATGCCAATCATTTTACTTTGCACCTGGGCTTTAAAGAGTTTTTTTTTCAGCGTTGAAAGAATTCAGATGTTAATAGCGATTCTCTGTAACCACTTAAACTTCTTTGCCACGCATGGTCACCGATTTTGATGAAACTTTGCACATTATTACAACTGGACACCAGAAACATATATCAGATAAAATTTCGTTGCTATGTGTCTTGGTTGCCATGGTAACAGCCAGAAAAGTTGAAAAAATTGAGATTTTCAGCTACTTTAAATCTTTATTAAGCCTTAATAAAGACTAAGAAAAACAAACAAACCATTCTCCCAAAAACATGACACGTTGTTGCCACTTATGCTATAAAGAAACTATTTAGAATTTATCTTTAAGTAAGTGGTAACCATGGGTACATTTGGAATACATTTTAGATGCTGAAAAATGCTGAAAAACGCTCTATAGTCACAAATGATAGATGTTACATGATCAAACTCAATCAACAACGTAAGAAAAACAATGAAAAATATTTGACCTCATGTAATTTGGTATTGGCAATATTATTCTAAAAATAACTTTCATGGTTGCCATGGTAACACAGTGTCACCATGCAAAATCTGTTGCTATGATTGGGTTAATGCTACTATCGTGAGGAAAAACAGTAAAATTCATGACTGGCACATATGCATCCTTAGGACCTTGCAACACCGACAACATAAGAAAAATTGAGATTAATTGTTACTTTGCAGTGTAACCATGGAAACAACGTAGTAGTTGTTTAAAGTGATATTTTTTTGCTGCTTTAGGAATTTTCTGACCTTTTAATCAAGAAAAAATATTATTTGAATCACCTTGAATAGTACTTATCTCGTAGAACTAAAGTTGAATATCATATATTGATAAAGGTTGTTGAAAATACAACACTGTTGCTATGGTTACCAAGAAGAGAAAATGTTCGATTTTGTTAATTTTTTGTCAATATTAGACCCTATGTGCCAGCTTTTTGCATCCAGTTAGAGATTGGGTGATAGTCAAAATTGAAAGTCAGGTTAGTTGTTCACATATATCAATCATTAAAGTTTTGGGAATCTACATACAACGGTACGTATCCAAGGAAACAGAGTATTTTTTCAGATTTTTATGCATGTTTTTTCGCCTTATTTCCATAGCAACGCACTATTTAAAGAAATGAAATTGAATTTTTTGAAATGTGAAAATTACGGTCACACCATTGCCTTTAAAATTTGATCATAAGTTATATAGAAATATGCTTTTTAAAAAGATAGGATAAGATTAAAACACTATGAGAGTAAATTTAAAATCCCTTCGTGGTATTAAAACCATGGCAACCATTGCCAACCTATAAGAAATATCATATTTTGTCCTTGGTATATGTTACAAGGATCTCTTCTCTATTATTTGCTTGCATATCAACCTATAATTGTTTTTATTCTTAAGTGTATGACTTTATAAAATTAAATGAACAAAACTATTACTTTTGAATACTTTGTTTCCATAGTAACGTATGTTATAAATGATTTACCAAACATGTTTATCATGCATTTAAGACACCAGGCCTTCAACTTTCAGAAACAGTCATTGCAACTTGTTTGCTTTGCTGCAAACGTTAACTGTGGGACTCTGAAGATGTTGAAAAATGCCATTTTTCAAACTTTAGGACATGTTGCTATGGTAAGCATGACACGTAGCAACCAATTTTTGCCTGATTTGAGTTAACGGTATCAAAGACTTTTATCATAGAGAGTTTGGAGAAATTCTGAGACTATGCGTGCCACAGCTCCTAAATAAAAGTTCAAGTCATTACAGAGAATGGCTCTTAACATTTAGTGTCGCGCTTTGAACAATGATGTTTTTACACTGTGCATTTCTCTGGATATTATTTGCCGTAGTAGATTCCCACTCGCCACTGACGGAAAAGAAGGCAGAAGATGGCATTAGTGTAAGATCCTCATGCGAATCAAATGAAATTGTCATTAACAATCTGCAGAACCAGATAAATCAAGAAACATTGATGAGGCTATCATTACTTAAACAAGTGTATTCATTGATCAACGACATGATTAACGTGAAAAATGAAATGGCAGCCATGAAAAACAACGCAGAAGAAGTAAGAAAAAGTACCGATGATCTTCGGCATGAAGATAAAAAAATGTTAAATGAAATAGAAAAGATGAAACATGACCACAACGATACATCTGAAAGGATAATGAACGTGCAGCATGAGCATGATAAAATGTTGAGTGAGATAGAACAGAAAATGAAAATTAACCAAAACGAAACATCGGAAACGATAGGGAACGTGCAGCATGAATATAAAACAATGTTTAGTGAAATAGAACAGAAGATGAAATACAACCATAACGCCACATCTGAAAGAATAGCAAACGTACAGAATGACCTACTCAACGTCAATAATTCTGTAGGTTTTCTTCGTAATTTTACCGATAAAGTCTATGCTAAGTACGGTATCCAAGGTATGTAAATGTAATATTTCGTGGTCATTTTTGTGCTTCTGAAACAAGCTGTTACATCAGTATCAATAATTACGAGGGTTGTTAGAAAAGTTCGCGGACACATTGTTTCACGGAAAATTTATTGTGTACTTTGAAGAATGACATGTGACTGATTAAATTCATATCTTTTGTTTCTTAGTATATAAAAAATCAGGTCCATTTACTAAAATTTTGAATATATACAATGACTAAGATTCACGGAGCAACCTCTTGACGTTCGGTGACGTGACAACCTGACTCCAAACCTGTTAAATGTTTTTTTTTTTTTCAAAGCTCTAAATATCTTTCATTTCTATAGAATTTTCATGTCTTTTTCCTACTTCAAAATTCTCTCCAATTTAATTCAAAATTTTGCCATTAGATGTTTCATGGAAATTGTAGTAACAGTTTAAATGTAACAAATCTTAATGCACTACAACAGTGCAATTTTTGAATTTCAAAAAAAAAAAAAAAAATCTATGTAATGTGAACGTGCAAAAAAGTGTCATGCTCCGTGAAGCACGTTTTATCTAAATAATATGAGGGTTATTCAGAAAGTTCGTAGACTTTTGTCATAACATTTTTATTTCACGCCATATTATAACCAATTTTGGCAGACATACTTTAACAATAAATCCAAGTAATTTGAATTAAAAAATGCAACTATATCATGATAAATATCCAAATTATACTTAAAATTTAAAACTGCAAAAATAGGGTTACGGAGCAAGGTCAAAATTGAATAATTCTTTACCAATACATTTAATTATGTCTATATTTATATCACCAACAAATGGCGCTTAAACAAAATAAAATGAAAACGTTCGAATAAATCTTGTTTTATAATCTTAAGTACCTAATTGTAATTCAATACATTTCTTCTTTAGAGAGAAATCAATTTTAGAAGACAGGAAGTCCTCTTTAAAAAAAGCGATAAAAGGTGACGTTAAAGGACGTCACGAAGCAGTGAGTAGTAGTATAATTTTGTTTCGCACACGGGTAACCCTTTCACAAACTCTGAAAATGCCGGAAAAACCAGGAAATATATCAGAAGTGAGTCATGCATTTGTATATTAATGGTAAAGACAGTGTTTGAGTGATAGAGACTTTGAATCGGACAATGTGCCGTCTGTGAGGAAACTGATTTTCATTAAATATCTGGTCAAAAGATTTGGTAACGTCATGGAAAGTTATATGCGGCTTCATTGTTGTAGAACTTATAAAAATAAAAAAAAAATACGAAGTAAGGAATTTGAAAACACTGACAAACTAACTTATGCTACGAGGGGTGATCAAAAAGTTCGCGAACTATCTCTATAATTTCAAAACCACAATTCAGATCAGAATGAAATTTGGCACACATATAGTCATACATGTGTTCTATATATAGCACTTTTATGTCATGTTTTGCTCCATGTTTGTGACGTCACAATGTGAAAATGACGTCATTAGGTAGGTTACTTGTGACAAAAAATGATTGACTCAGTCGTACTCGAGCAACGAACGGCTGTAAAGTTTAATGTGTATCTTGGAAATTCCTTTGCAGTAGCATATAATACTTTGTACAAAGTTTATGAAGACAAAAGACTTGCCAGGAGTTCAATTATTAATTGGATTGATTGTTTTAGTGAAAGAAGGGAGATGGTTAAAAATTATGTTTGTTCTCTCGCCCAATGAAAGCAAGCTGGGGAAGAGATGCGTCCTCAGCTGAGCAATTTGATATGAAAGACCGCCAAGTTACAGTTAGAAAAATAGTTGAATATCTTAACAATAATACAGTTATTAAATCCCTAAAATATCGTTTAATTTAGACTTAAATCATATCAGATATGATAAAACGAAAGCGCCATGCCTGATATCCACATTGGACAAACGTCGCTCCCAAGACAGAAGACTCGGGTTGTGATGGTCACTATGCTCATTCCTGGAAAGGATATCCTTATCCACCCATCCAATTGCCGAGATTTGGCCATTTTTGACAAGTTGATTGTTCTTGTTATAAAAACTAACTTGCATGGTAAGAAATATAAGACTCGGGAAAATCTTTTACACCCTGTGAACGGAACGCTTCGGAGCATGTCACGTGACCGCCTGTGTCACGTGATTCGCGCATGGGCAGAACGGTGGCAGATGTGCATTTAAATTGGAGAGGACTACTTTAAAAAATAATGAGCACTAAAACCTAATTTCATTTCTTTTATGGAAGTTATTCAATTAGTTCGCGAACTTTTTGATCACCCCTCGTACTCGAATTAGCAAACTGTGTGTCAGTTATTATGGAGACATTTTTAATGAGTTAATAAGGCGCTACAGACCGTGTGAGAAATGACGAGGGAGAGTAATTGTAACTTTCACGACGTTGTTTTTGACGTTACAATGTAGTTAAGAGTGCTCCGTGGTGTCAAAACATGTTGATTTAAAGTTAAATAACTTAAATTCCTTTTATTCAAATGGAATGAAACTACACACAACGACAAAATGAATGTTTTTGCACTTGAACATGTGTTGATCATAAATCATAAAGCGATATTGTCTACGAATTTTTTGAATGGCCCTCGTGTATCTGTACATTTTTAAGTATCATCGGAAAACACCAAATCTTTGAATATTTATGGGGAAATACGTATATTTTTTATCTGCAGAGTTTTACTGGTTTTATTCGAATAGCGCGCTCACAATAGAAGATGTCCGCGAACTTTTCTAACAACCCTCGTACATCAATCCTCTTCGTTTCTCTATTTGGAAAATCAAACTAAATCTACATATAAAATAACTTAAATTTTTACCTAGGTGTCGTGTTTTACATGGCATTAAAGCACCCGCATTTCATGTCAAATGAAATCAAGGCCCAAATTATATTCTCCAATGCCATTTGAAAAGGGTTGTTTTTCAAGATGCTCTAGAGTTCTTTATAAATATATTGAAACTGACTGTCTTACGATTGAGAGTCCCTCCACCCCATCCCAACTACCAACCCTCCCCCCCCCCTCCAACAAATAAGTTTAAGTGATTTATTAAGACGATTTAATCAGAATAGAGTCATGTTAATACAGGTAAAGCTGTAGTGATTTTTTTTTCTGCGATAAAAAGGAGGTACAATTCAGCACAATAACTGAGGCAGGATTTGTACTTTAAAGATTGGGCAGCCTTATGCTTAACTTAAAAATTACAAAGCGATTTAAAAAAATAATTACAGATGTGTTTTTTCTCAGTAGTTATATAGTTCGCGATGAAAAATGTAAAATTCCTTTTATCTTTATTTAAACTTTATTGTATTTCAGAAAATAAAATGAGAGATTTATCAACCGTGCAGGAAAAAATCCAGTCTACACTGGGTGAGCTGCGCAATGAAGATCAAAGAATACTCTCTGAAACACAACGCATCATAGCGAACCGTAGTGAAAATACATTTGAAAAAATTTTGAAGATGAGGGAAGATTTAGAGCGAAATATCACATATATGGTCAACAACATGACTGGCCCTTTGGAAAGGCAAGGTTTGTAACAATGTTTATTACATTTTATATATATTTGAAAGGATGTCATGAAGGTAGACTTAACATATATTCAAAGAGATATGTTTTCTACATCTGATACCTGCTCTTTAAGGAAGTCCATCCAATGAAGTTTTCGATACAAATAACCCTTTCTAAGAATAGACTCAACGTATGGGTGTGTTCCTATTTTGCGCAAATTTGATATTTAGGTAGAGAACAATATGTATGAAATGTGTTTTAATAAGAATTATAGTTTGCTTTCTATATCGGATTTATCTGGAATTACCTGTATTTTACCAGTGTATTGTAAGAAAGAAGAAGCTTAGAAATACGTAGCCAGTTTTTTTTTTCATTCATAATAGATAAAGAGTTATAAATACAAATTTGATAAGTATTCATGATATCTTCTGCTTTTATTATAATATAGTTTAATATTATGCTTTATAAATAATCAAAGTATCAAACACAAATGACCTTTTCTTGAGTTTTATTTTCCTTTTCTTTCCTTATTCCCAACTATGATACAGTCTATAGCAATTAAGTAATTATCATAACTGGACAAAGTCCCATTTTTCATACTACTTTAGGTAATCAAATGTGTGCAAAACGGGAACAAACCCTTACAACATACCTGACAGCTTACCTTACATATTGATAATTTCTAACGATTTTCTAAATTTTAAGTCATCATTGCATCAGATGTTACGTTTTAGACAAACGTTAGCATACATTACTAGGAGTTTTGATTAGATATCAAATGATAAAAGTCCTTGTGCTTTTCAAAGAAAAAATTCCAGACATACAGTTTTAGCTGGTGTTTCCTCAAAATTGTTTTGGAAGAGGTGTAAAGCATCATTAGACTTAATAAAAGTAGCAAAAAGGGCTTTGATTAATTGGAGCTCATCATATATATAGGGAATAAGAAAAAAAGTTCCAAACTACATTGCGTATGTCATTACGGCCTTAGGTGGGCTGTTTATTCTATGTTCTATAGTACTTGATTACCAGTATACATACATATATATATATATAGAGAGAGAGAGAGCACAAAGAAAACGTTTTACAAGGATACTCACTCCCACTTCCACCCCATCCAGAGGCCTAACTCTCGAACCTGTCTCCTAGAAGTGCACGAACAGCGCGCTAGACCGCTCGGTCATCTAGGAAAGTTAAAAACTTGCTTTCGATGGTGATGGAATTCTCGAGGCGCTGCTATACACTACACGGTCATTGGGAATGAAAATGATGAGATAAAGCTACTTGAACTGTTAGTTTTATCAGAGAATCGTTACTGATACACATTGCAGTGAAATCAATTTCATAATTATCTAATTACTGTTAAAGCACCATGTCGTTACCCCGACTGTCCTGTAATTCTTTAATGATGATAATTAAATCACCGTTGAGCACTGTGAATTGTTATGTAAACTCCATATACAGGTGTTTATGGTATATTGCTACATAAATAAGGGAAGTTGACGTTAGAAAAGTTAAAGTCATCACGTTTATCGTAAGTTTTGTTGTTATGTTACTATTAACGTCTTTTTCTAGTAAAATATCCATAAATGAAACAGATGTGTCAGACTTTGTGGAATCTTTTATTTCGAGTTCAAAGGGATATATCGAATCAACGTAGAAGTGAAAATGAATATTGTTTATTCATAAAACGTTGCCGATATATCTCAGTGTTGAATTGAATGCCACAGCAAGAGACTTCTTCTCATGTAGAAGTAAGTCAAACTTCAAGGTCAAAGGGTCAAAATTAATGGTGCCCAAGGAAAGGCCTTCTCACAAGAAATACACATGTGAAATATGAAAACCCTAGCACCAGCCGTTTAAAAGATATGGCCAAGGTTAAAGTTTTTCAAAAGGAGGTCAAACTCCAAAGTCTCGGTCAAAGGGTCAAAGTTGTTGATATCCAAACTAAGGTCTTGTCACAAGGATTACATATGTGAAGTATGAAAGCCCTAGAACCAACAGTTCAAACGAAATGCCAAGCTTAAAGTTTTCCAAAAGTAGGTAAAACTCAAAAGTCAAGATCAATGGGCTATAATTGTTAGTATATAAAGGAAGGCATGTCACAAGGAATACACATGTGAAGATTGAAAGCCCTAGCAACAACTGTTCAAAAGTTATGACAAAGGTTAAAGTTTTCTAAAAGTAGGTCAAACTCCAAGGTCAAGGTCAAAGGGTCAAAGTTGTTGGTATCAAAAGGAAGGTCTTGTCACAAGGATTACATATGTGAAGAATAAAAGCCCTAGCATCAACAGTTAAAAAGTTATAGCCAATGTTAAAGTTTTTCAAAAGTATGTCATACTCCAAAGTCACGGTCAAAGGGTCAAAGTTGTTGGTATCCAAAGTAAGGTCTTGTCACAAGGATTACATATGTGAAGTATGAAAGCCCTAGAACCAACTGTTCAAAAGAAATGCCAAGGTTAAAGTTTTCCAAAAGTAGGTTAAACTCCAAGGTCAAGGTCAATGGGCTATAATTGTTGGTATCTAAAAAAGGTCTTATCACAAGGAATACACATGTGAAGTATGAAAGTCCTGGAACCAACTGTTCAAAAGCAATGGCCAAGGTAAAGTTGGGTAAAATTTTGTAAAACTGGGTCAAACTCCAAGGACAAAATGTCAAATGTTATGGTACCCGAAGAATGGTTTTGTCACAAGAAATATACATGTGAAATATGAAAGCCATAGCTCCAACCAATCAAAAGTTATGAACAGTGTTAAAGTTTTTGCGGACAAACAAACAGACAGACGGACGGACAGGGCGACAACTATATACCCCCGAAACTTCAATACGGGGGAATAAAAAAAACCCAGCTGTCTATGATGTCAAAAAGCCTGGACTTTAAATTATGTGAGGAATGGTTGTACAACGTCGTACATTTTGATGATATTGATTTTGGTAAAATTTTGTTATTTCCAATTTTCTAAAAGTTCCTTGGAGTTTTAAAGTATCCACATCTGATTTACACCACTGGAGCGCACTATGTATCTTTGTAAGGATTCTTATGCAGTTTAGGAGTACAGTATAAGTGTTGTAGTCAAATTTTATATTGACTGTTGGGAATATTGAAAATCCTTAAAACAGGCATGTGATTTTGAAGAATTTCCTCCTTAGAAAAGGAACTATGAGTATAAGTTGAATTACTACTTGCAGAATTAAATCTAACTTCCTCTATAATATAAATAAAATAATGAGCCTTACAAACAAAGACAATGTTATTACCTGCTTTGTCAACTGGAGCTAGTGCATATTGATCGTGTAATCTATCTAATTATTTTTTCACTTCTGAATTATTGAAAAAGAAGGATAGGTGGTTTTCATATTGCCCCTTACCTGCTTTATTCGAGATTTCAACATCCATCTGATATTTTTTTTACCTTTTGACAGAGTGTCAATGTTTTATTTTTCATGTTTGGACATCGTCTGGTGTAATTTTCCACGAATTCATTATATATAATATATATATATATATATATATATATATATATATATATATATATATATATATATATATATATATATATATATATGCAGACCCTAAAACGTGCTACTACACCTCAGAAACGAACCGTACCGTTCCGTGCAAGAAGCGTACCGTACCGTGCAAGAAGCGAACCGTACCGTGCACAAAGCGAACCGTACCGTACACAGAACGAACCGTACCGTGCAAGAAGCGTACCGTACCGTGCACAAAGCGAACCGTACCGTACACAAAACGAACCGTTCCGTGCAAGAAGCGAACCGTACCGTGCACAAAGCGAACCGTACCGTTCATGAATAATTTTTGAAATAATTATGCAAGCCACGCCCAGAAAGCATTCCGAATCTTGCAATGACCAATACAGTAAGTAATTTTCTTCTATTTCTTTCGACACAGCGCCTGTTAAAGACGGACGGAAAATAACCCTAGAGATTCAAAATATTATTATTAAGTACCATGCATCTGGACTTACATCTGTTAATATAAGGAAACTACTCAAAACTAGTTACGACTTCAAAACAACTCGACAGAGTGTGAGGCGATTCCTTATTCGCTATGCATGATCGGGTTGTGCTTGACTAACATTTTTTTTTTCATATAAAATGCAGCATCGTAATATTTCCTGTACAATTTATAATAAATAAAAGTGAATTAAATACTTTATCGTTTATTTCTATAGCTTTTATCTACCCTATTCTTGTCTCTATGAACTGTTCTCGGAAACAAAGACACATTGAAAAATGTATACGGATTCTGTGCTATTTTCAGAAACCAACCCCTTAAAATAAGTTTTTATTCATGTAAGTAATAATTTTAGGGAGAAATGATTGCAGATTTAGCAACAACAACAATAACAAAATTTGAAAAAAAAAAAAAAAAAAAAAAAATTACGAACTAAATTGTCAATTTGAAAGCGGACATGTTAAAATTTAAACGCCTCTCCATCACTAGAAAAAAAATAAATAAAGGCGATGTATATATTAAATAATGTGTGTTGGTTTACACTCTTCTGACCAACTCAAGATGTTATCGCCAATATAACATACTGTCAAAAAGTTTGATCGCCACGTTTTCGCATGGAATTTTCAGTTTAATACACGTAATCAAAAAACAAATCATATAAGTCAGAATTAATTTTTATTTAAAGCATTTTTCCATTTAATTTGCCTTATTCACTGAAACCTGCAGGTAAAATATGTTATCTGGAATTTACACATAAAGCCCAGTTTAATCTAAAAAAAAAAAAAATGCTTAGTCCGTGCATGCGTGTTCATCCAAGTTTGTTTGTTTTTTTTTTTTTAAGAAACACTGTACATTTCTTGCCATAGTCTCGTTATCTAGACTGACGTATTTCTATACTTTCGTTATTTACTCTAAAACATTTGAAAATTTCGATCAAGTATTGTCTTCACACGTGCACAGGTAAAAACTTGAGCTGTGTATATTGAACCGTATCTAATCCCGTTAGTCCAGATATGCCTACATTCACACATGTATCAACAGTTCGCTGTCTTAAACAGTAAGTCCACAACAATGAACCAGTTTTAATCAGCATATATATATATATATATAGAATTTCATGTGCAGTCAGCTTTTCTTCTAGATCTTCAATAAAAAAAAGTTTGAGTTTGACAAGGAAACAAATCAAATGGGGGGGGGGTAGCACTCAGCATGGGCATATTATTCATTTTCAAAGTTTTTGAGGACATCATGGCTGCATATTATTTATTTTCAAGGTAATTGAAAACGGACTATTTATTTCTAACATTTTGACATTATTTATTTCGGAAATCTGTCTTTGCAGTCAATATACGTTTATATTATATACATTTATACATTGTAGATGGAATTGTAGCTGTCTTAACCTCTTTTTTTTAATTGTAACTTCACTTCAAAAAGCGTGTTTATACATTGATGGAAAATTTATGTAAAAAGGAAAACAATTACGCGCACAAAAAATAAAGTAATATTTTGCACTAATTGTGTGCACTGATTTCTTTTCAATGTATTTTTCCTAGCGAGCCAAAGAAGAGACCTAAGAAGTCTATGTAAAAAAAAATATATATATAATTCCTCGCAAATAAAAATAATAACTTATTTTTTATTGTTTATTTGATCATTCGGTCAAGAGAAAATTTTTGTTTGTTTGTTTTTTAAAATGAAGCAACAGTGACAAGAACGTAAAAAGAATGGTAGACGAAATGAAAGCATGAGGGATTTATAAAATCAATCTCATTTGTTTTAAAGTGTGATAAGTGAATATTTAAAATAACAATTATATTCAATTAGGAAAATTTAAAGTGAAAAAAAAAACATATGTACGCTTATTCTTTAAAAAAAAAAATACAGAAAGGCCTTTTATGGCGACGCAACCAAAATATATTTTTTCATCCTTGTTATACAGTGTTTGTTGATATGTTCGATTTATTTCCGAGTTACTGAACCATAAGGCGATGGTGTATAAAATGAGATAATAAATAGACAACTAAAATTATTTTATCTTAAAAATTGAAAGTAGTTCATACAGAAAGTAAATTTAATAAAGATACATTTATTAAGACGGCTAGTTACATGTAATAACAAAAATACAGCTGTAAAAAGGAAATATTTATAACAGTTTAAACTTAAAAACAACTTAGTAAAAAATGCTTGCGATATCGTCCTTCCATTTATATAAAATAAAGAGATTATAATAAAGAAAAAACGACTTTATGAAGTAGCCAATCAATAACTAAAGCGTACAGGCTCCGCCCACTTAATTTACATACCGTTCACCAAAGCGTACCGTTCACAAAACGAACCGTTCCGTGCAAGAAGCGTACCGTACCGTGCACAAAGCGAACCGTACCGTTCACAAAGCGTACCGTTCCGTGCAAGAAGCGTACCGTACCGTACACAAAACGAACCGAACCGAACCGTGCAAGTGGTGTAGTAGCACGTTTTAGGGTCTGTGTATATATATATATATATATATATATAGAGAGAGATATAGATATAGATATAGATAGATAGATAGATAGATAGATAGATAGATAGATATATATATATATATATATATATATATATATATATATATATATATATATATATATATATATATATATATATATATATATATATATATATATATATATATATATATATATATATATATATATAAATTCTTTTTTAGCAGACGTTATAGATCGACAGGATATTTTCTTTCAAACAATTTGAAACAAATTTTATATAAATAACTATTCTTGTACCCACTTTTATATGTTCTTTATTTGTTTACTGATGATCCTAGTTTTCTTTAAAGAGCTTTGATTAATTATTTTCATGCACTAATTTTATGTATGATACATTAATAACTTTCTCTCCACCTAGATTGCTTAGAATCAAGCCACTGTTGGTTGCTGTATAATTTTTCGTATGATGCTAGCTGGAATGGATGTGAAGGCGGGTCCCAGTACGTAACGAAAACAAACTATTCTTCTGCCCCTTATCTTGGTGTGATGACATGCAATTCGACAAGGTATACTTTGTATATGGTTTTTTTTTTTCATATAATAAATATCTGATGAAAGTTAATTTGAAGATCACAGTCTTTTAAATCTATGCAAGAAAATATAATTTATTATCAAAATAGCACATTTTAAATAAGTTTCTATTGGGTTGAGTGTTCAATTATCAGTGCATTTTGTGTAAAGCGTAAAAACGTAGGATATAATTGATTTCAAAAGTAGGTTACAGATTTGCAGACCTTTTAAAACAGAAAACGAAACATATTTTAATCATTATGTAATGAAAAATAAACAATTTTAAACCCGCAATCTTCGTAAAAACCTTATGAAATTTTGCTACTTTGTTTTATTTAGCAGCTGCCTTTATCAATAAGTAATCGGGTAACTGTTTTTATTTAAATATATTCGGGTATTGAAGCCCTGAAAAGCTACATAAGTTATGGGGAAATACGTATTTTCTTTTATTTCTTCATTATCAAAATAAGTGAAAATAAATGAGAATCATTCACAAGAGAGTTTAAACTTTGTTTGAAATAATTATGAGTTACAATGATACATTGTGATACGATATGTGATGTTTTTATTAAACATGCACATATGCATATCATGACTTACAAAATTTGTAATCTCAAGTTCATGTGTGTGTTTCAAATTGTTAAAGTAACATGACACCATCACTGAAAATACCGAAAATGATCATTCATTCTACCTCTGTCCATCCAGATCCTAACTGCAAAATTGCATGTTTGAATACATTTGCAAGTTTATTTGCACTTCCTTGTGTTAATTTCTGGATTTGTTCGATGTAAAGTAGAAAGTGAAATATATTACATTCGACGTGTGTGTGAGTGTAATTATCATTTTTTTCTGCAAATGTATACGAAAACATGAGACAACAGTCGGCATTTCTAAAGGGAAGATCTAGAATTTATTTCGGGTCCCATATCTGATCACAGATAATTCCCACTCAATTTTTTTTCTGACAAGCAGGTTGTGTGTATTGGGGCAAAGCCATTTCAGTCTAATTTACTTTTAGATCAATACTATGTACGAAATCTGCATGTTGTTCATTTTTCCCATGTAAATATGTAACTATCACTTTTGCTAACGATATTTTTGATTTTGATCTTCTCGTAGAACCAAGTTGTGAAAATAATTGTAATTTTCAAAACTATAGAGTTTCTTTGTAATAAGAACTGAATTGAATATTTAGTACTTTATTGAAAGAAAGTTGATGCGTTGAGTTGAATTCGAGTGAAATAGGGTACATATTAACAAGATAATTCAGAGAATAATTGCTGTTATTGCAAAAAGCAACAAAAAGACAAAAAAGGAACAAATCAGAAAAGAAGTGGGTTTCTTTTTTCTTTCTTTTTTAACAAGCATTCTGAGAGTATTGCATTAGCAATACTAGTCCCCTACCGGCAAATGTAATCTGGTTCCCGTTAAAACTTGAAAATGCCAGAATTCCGTCAAAAGTCATTGAAGCGGGACGAAATGCAAACTTGATCTATAACTCATCAAGGTTAAGTCACATGCCAAAATCAGCTCAATATCTGCAAGCGTTTGGAAGAAAATCAAGGAAAACCCTTAAAAAATGAAAAGGTCCTAATTCCGTGAAAAATCAATGAAGCGAAACGAAATGCAACCTTGATCTGTAACTCACATGCCAAAAATCAGCTTAATATCTGCAAGCGTATCTTGATGAGATACAGATCAAGTTTGCATTTCGTTCCGCTTCAATGACTTTTGACGGAATTACAACCTTTTTCAATTTTACAGGGTTTTCCGTGATTTTTTCCTAAACGCTTGCAGATTTTTTCCTAAACGCTTGCAGGTCTGTCCGTCCGTCTGTCTGTCCCTCTGTCTGTCTGTCAGTCTGTCCCACTTGGTTTTCAGCACTTATTTCCTAAACGCTTGTAGATATTGAGCTGATTTTTGGTATGTGAGTGTATCTTGATGAGTTACAGACCAAGTTTGCATTTCGTTCTGCTTCATTGATATTTTACGGAATTACGTCCTTTTCAATTTTTAAGGGTTTTCCGCACTTTTCTTCTAAACGCTTGCAGATATTGAGCTGATTTTTGGTATGTGACTTTACCTTGATTAGTTATAGATTAAGTTTGCAGTTCCTTCCGCTTCAATGATATTTATAGAATTATGGCATTTTCAATTTTTAACGGGAACCGACTACACTTGCCGGTAGGGGACTAGTATTGCCAATGCAATACTCTCAGAATACTTGTTTTTTTTATAAATTGGTTTTGATCTACTGAGACTATCAATAAATTTGACTGGTTTGCCAATGCCTTGTAAGGATTTGTAGTCAGGCAGAAAAATAGCAAAAATGTTTGATAAAATATTTATGACATGAACAGCCGATGATTGATTGGACATTGAATTGTTAATTTGTTTGCCCGTGCTTCCAGTGTGTATGATTTCTGTCTAAGGCAAAGATTAAGTTTTTGATTAAACTGAAAATCCAGAAAAGACTGAATAAGCAACTCCCCCCCCCCTCCCCGCTTGATCAGCCCTTTATACCTTTGTGTAACATTCACTCCAAGCACAAAAAATCCTCTCGTATTATGGCACGATATATGACAATAGTAACAAGCACTCTCAGAGTATTGCATTAGCAATACTAGTCCCCTACCGGCAAGTGTAATCTGGTTCCAGCTAAGAATTGAAAATGCAATTATAATTCCGTCAAAAATCAAGGCAAAGTCAGATACCAAAAATCAGCTCAATATCTGCAAGCGTTTAGAAAAAAAATCACGGAAAACCCTGTAAAATTGAAAAAGGTTGTAATTCCGTCAAAAGTCATTGAAGCGGAACGAAATGCAAACTTGATCTGTATCTCATCAAGATACACTCACATACCAAAAATCAGCTCAATATCTGCAAGCGTTTAGAAAAAATGTACGGAAAACCAATTGGGACAGACTGACAGACAGACAGAGGGACAGACTGACAGACGGACAGCTAGACAGACAGACGGACGGACAGACTCAGAGGAAACCTATAGTCCCCTCCGGTTTCAGCGGTAGGGGACTAATAATGGCAATAGTCTGGTCACTTGTTTTACGTAACTCAAAAGTTAACGGAGCAATTATATCAGTAAAGAAACTTTAGAAATATCAAAAGTTTCATTGACAATCATATAAATATTTAATTCTTTGGATTTGAGAGGGGAAATGGTAAAAAACTAACAAGCTGTCTCTTTTTATGAACAAGCATTCTGAGAGTATTGCATTAGCAATACTAGTCCCCTACCGGCAAGTGCATGTAATCTGGTTCCCGTTAAGAATTGAAAATGCCATAATTCTGTCAAAAATTAATGAAGCGGGACGAAATGCGAACTTGATCTATAACTTATCAAGGTAAAGCCACATACCAAAAATCAGCTCAATATCTGCAAGCGTTTAGAAGAAAATTGCGGAAAACACGTAAAAATTGAAAAGGCCGTAATTCCGTCAAAAATCAATGAAGTGGAACGAAATTCAAACTTGATCTGTAACTCATCAAAATACACTCACATACTAAAAATAAGCTCAATATCTGCAGACGTTTAGGAAAAAAGTGCGGAAAACCAAGTGGGACAGACTGACAGACAGACAGAGGGACAGACAGACAGACAGACTGACGGACAGACAGACAGACAGACGGACGGACAGAGGGACGGACAGACTCAAAGGAAACCTATAGTCCCCTCCGGTTTCACCGGTAGGGGACTAATAAAAATGGAAACACTGAAGTTAACCAGACCTAAATAACTGTTTTTACCATAGGAATTGTATCAGCTTTCTCTTACATTTTTTTTTTCAAAGAAAACCCCCGATATGCTTTAAGATTGCTTTTTTTTCTCTTCCAATTGGCTGTAACTTTTCCATTCAAAAAGTTTAATAAAATTGATATTCTGTATTCATTATTTTGGCAATTGACTTTTAAATAAGCTTAAAAATTTATCAGTAACATAACTTTTACATAGATTGCTTTATCGTTGTCTAAAAGAATGCTTTAGATTGCTAAAGGAAAATTGATATGTACATTGCTATTTGATTTATTTTGTATTTATGTTTTAAAGAGTATTGTGTTACAATTTCTATTTTTATATATATGACTCGGAAAAAATTCTTTCACAATAAAGCAATGGTGTACCTGTTTTTTAATAATTGTATACTTAAGGAATCACTATCTAGTTTGTTGTGTATGCCAGGGTATCAACGACAGTTGGGAACGTGGGATGATTTGCATAACGGGAGAAGCCACGGGTGATCCCTTATATTTCCATTTATATGTGAAATAAAAAATTATAAATAAAAAATGCTGTCTAATAGATTTAAAATACACGAAGCATTCCATGTTAAGTTCCATAGTCCCCGCCCCCTTACGTCAGACACAATGACAGCCGCGAGAGATTGACATGCATATTAGGAACTTGACTTTTTACATTCAATTGTAATTATTGAGAAATCAACACACTTACCTTTCAAAGAGTTTGAAAGAGTTATTACAGAGAAAACAATGTGAATGTAAATATAAAAAGCAATTTATTGCTTAAGCTAATTATATGTATACATATTCAAGAAATCTATTGAGTTTATTTTATGATTTACACATTTATTAGATACAAGCTATTTCTGAGCAAAACAGCTACCGGCATATACTATAACATTGCGGATAATAGTGGCAACGGGCAGGATCACTGTGAACTTTTGGGGTCTGCCCAGGAAGGCGTATTGCCTGGAGATTACTGGAGAGCACCAAACACACAAGGTAAGGAAAGGGGTTGTTCAAAAACTCTTTTGAAGTCTATGAGCATCGTGCATATATATATATATATATATATATATATATATATATATATATATAATATATATATATATATATATATATATATATATATATATATATATATATATATATATATATATATATATATATATATATATATATATATATATATATATATATATATATATATATATATATATATATATATATATATATATATGTGTGTGTGTGTGTGTGTGTGTGTGTGTGTGTGTGTGTGTGTGTGTGTGTGTGTGGGTGGGTGTGTGGGTGGGTGTGTGTGTGTGAGGGTGTGTGTGTGTGTTTTCTTTAAAGTGAAAGACCCAAAATTGTTTGTTCTGAGTAGATAAATTATGACAAAGGTGCCAGTAACTCTTGCAGCTCTTACATGGTGTAGATAAAATTTGAATGGAAAGAAAACAGAACAAGCTAATTCAGAGAATTTGTGTCCCCCGCTTAGGGAAAAAAGAGCATGCGCAGTTTGGGGGGTCACCCCTCCCCCCCCCCCCCTGGATTTATATTGAAGGAAATTAAAAAAAAAAGCCAATATGGATGTAAAGAATTGATTGCTTATTCTTTATTATGTGTAGAAGATTCTTTTTCTTTAATATGTGTAGAAGATTCTTTTTATATTGAATATTTATCACACTGTAATAATGATTTTATGAGTTTGTACATGGCGAAGTCATTTCACATATTGAATACTATCATTTAGTAAATCAAAAAAAAAAAAACCGGATCGTCCGGGATTTGAAACAGGTACCTCTCACTTGTTAAGCAAGAATCATACCCCTAGACCACGGTGGCACTTGATTATACAGCAAATTAAATGCAAACATTAGATCACATATATATTTTACACAATACATAGTGTCTAATTAAGCCTATACTAAACAGTTCTAATAGATGTAATTAGAATATAAAGTCCGCCGACAACCTGTATTATACGTAATAACTCTCCACCTGCCCCTGTGCTAAAAATAGTGCCAAACGACTAATACAATAAATAAAAAAGGGGGCGGGACACTTTGAGAGGGGCGAGAGAGGCCATAGGGAGTTATGGTATAAAATTTCATTGCAAAAGCTCAATGGGTTCTCGAGATATCGCGCAGAAACGAAAGTGTTAAAACAGACAGAATTTATGAATTTATGACCTTGATCTTTTCACCTCAAATCAACAGGGTTCTTTTTTAGGCCATAGGGAGTTGCTATGCAAAATTTCATTGCGAAAGCTCATAGGGTTCTCGAGATATCGCACGGAAACGAAAATGTTACAGACAGACAGAAATACAGACGGACGGACGGACGGACGGAGAGTCGGACGGACGAACGGACGGACGGACAGACAGACCCAAAAAAACAGTGCTCGATGACATAATCGATCCGATAATCATTGAAACCTTACTGTCATAGACAGGTAACATGTCACTGTGTTATCGCGATCGGCGCAATACACTTAAAATAAGTTTTAAAATACCAATGAAGCACATTTACACAAGCTGATTCCTTTGGGGAAAAGCTAATATCTGGTGGTCTCCCATCATCTATAAATCATAGGAATAAATTAAGGAAACGCATCTCCCAGGTTTTTTTTCTCTTACACATAAAGTGTAAGCTCGAAAAGCGCAAAAGAAAACGCATGGCACCCATTATTCACACTCTCCCCTCACCCCCATCCCCACCCCACAAGGAATTCTTTCTTTATATAAAGTTCAACAGAAATGAATACGTTTTTGAAAAAAAAAAAATTATATATAGTTTAAATTATTTTCGACAGAATGGTCAACATTTTAGCTATGATATTCAATTTTTTTATGATATTTGAATGTACTCTTGAGGATTAAAAGCTGTAAAAAATTAGGTTACTTTGACATTTTTGTCCCCCGCTTTCACTAAAAGTGGGGGATATTGATTTGGGTCTGTCCGTCCGTCCGTTCGTCCGTCTGTATTTCGTAAATTCATACATTCCGTCTGTGTGTACTACTTTCGTTTCCGGGCGATATCTCAAGAAGCTTTTGCAATGAAATTTTGTACCATAACACCCTTTGGCCTCTCTCACCCCTCTCAAAGTGTCCCGCACTTTTTTTTAATTTATAGTATTAAAAGTCGCTTGGCACTAGTTTTAGCAGAGGGGCATGTGGAGAGTTATTACGTATAATACAGGTTTTCGGTGGACTTAATATTCTAATTACATCTATTAGAACTGTTTATTGAAGGCTTAATTATACACCATGTATTGTGTAAATTTTAGACATTATCGAACGTGAATATCAACATTATATCTGACCTAATGTTTGCATTTACTTTGCTGTTTAATTAAGTGCCTCCGTTGTCTAGGGGTATGACTCTCGATTAGCATGTGAGAGGCCCCGTGTTAAAATCCCGCTCGATCCTTCTTTTTTTTTTTTTTTTTTGGATTTTTTTTTTTTTTTTTTTTTGGATTTACTATATAAATGATAGTATTCAGCATGTGAAATGAAAAAGTTATGACGTCTGGCTTGTACAAACTCATAAAATCATTAATGCAGTGTGATAAATATTCTATACAAAAAGAATCTTCTATACACATATTAAAGAATAAGCAATCAAATCCTTATATCCATATTGGCATTTTTTATTTGCTTCAATATACATGTATACATTAAATAATTCTACAAATCAAGGGGGGTCCGACCCCCCCCCCCCCGAACTGCGCATGCTTTTCTTTTTCCCCTAAGCAGGGGACACAAATTCTCTGAATTAGCTTGTTCTCATAGAAATATCTCCTGTTTGGTATAATCAAGGTATTAAATGCTTAAAATATACATAATATGACATACTAGTGAGAAATATTTAAAGAAGTTGTCAAATTTCCAAATCTTTGACCAAAATAATCAATTTAGGACTCCTGATTTTGTTTGTTTTTTCTGGTAAGGGATGCCAAAAACCAAGGCGCACGCGACCGCTAAACATATAAAAAAAACTTGGAATGGCCTAATTATAGATAATGATACCATGATATCGTGACTGTAAGGATAAGCAGTAAGACTAAAATGAGAAGGTTTTTCATTGTAAATTAATATTTTTCTTTGTGCATGATCATGACTTTATTCTATAAAGTGTGTCCTGCTGTGGTAAGCCGACCAAAACTCTGCTTAAAATATGAAGATAGCGAACAATAATCAATATCAAAGTCCAGTGAAACAATACAACTTTGAAGCAGAGCAAACATGGACCTCTAAAAACATCAGATGTGGGATCAGGTGCCATGGAGGTGTAGGCATCCCCTGTCAACCGGTCACACCCGCCGCTGCTGATTGTCATGATCGGGCAAACGGAAAAATCCGTAGACACTTCAGTGTTTTAAAAATGGCTTCACATTTAGTATAAAAAACGTCAGCCAAGATTCGACTTATATAGGTATATGAACTAGTATTCAATGATTCGTATACACGGTTCCTGAAAGTTAAACGCTAAACACACCCATCTTCTTTGTTTTATTTAGATTAAACTGTTTCTCAAAGTAGAAATGAAAGTAAGCGTCAACCAGGATAATGTTTTAATCTCAAAAAACTGTGCTGTGTTTAATTTAATTTTTTTTTTCTGTTTTTTAAAAAAATCTTTGTACAATTGTAAAGATTGACCCGTGTTTTCACTCAAATCTATGATTTAGAGGCACAGCAATGCAAAATGTTATGCGAACTCCTAAGGCGAATGGGAGGGGCGAGGGACCGTCTTTGTCACTGACCTTCTAATGGGAAACCGAACGTATTACTAGTAGCTTCTTTGAGGCTGTCATAATTCCTAATGACCCTTAAATTTAGCCTGTAGGTTAAGCACTTACATGTATATCGTAATTTTAGAGTATATTTAGGGTATCATTTCAGAGGCTTTGTTATCCCAAAATATATGCATGAATTTTATTTTTTTTACTTTGTTTTACTCACAGTCTCTTTCAAGGAGAGATAAAGATATTGTGAAAATTTGGTTGAAACGTTGAAAAAGTCTCCTTCTCGATCAAGAACCACTGGGCCAAAATAAGCAAAAAACTTATGAGAGAGCTTCCTTAAAACGTGTGCATTAATAATTGTTCAAATCATCCCCGAACCAGTACGCAAGCTTCGAAATCGCTGATTCAAGTTTCTTCGAAGCAACTGTGGGTAAAAAGAGACATCAAAGTTTTGTATTGGAATATTTAGGTAATTAAACAAATATCTTCCAAAGTAGCAGGACCACACTAAATCATATTTTGATATGCAAATAATCTCAAGTTATGTGGATTCAAGTTTTTATTTTTTAATTTTCAAATAACGGGAGTCGGTCAAAATTCGAGGATTCAAAATTATGCAGGTGAACTTTGTAGCCCATCTCCCTAAAGCTGCCGTTGTCTTTCGTTTAACTCTTCAATTTCTATCCCACATTTTAAGAAAAAAAATTATTTCAAGAAAAATAATTCTTAATATACGAGATGTGTCCCAGAAAAACGTGACCTGACCAAAATCATTCATTTTTTGTACAACTCTAGGAAATTATATTTTTGTCATTTCGACAAAAATACTATAAGCTTTATGTCATATACATTTAGAACTATAGTATGTGTGAAATGAATAACTCGTAAAGTAAAAGAAAATCAAACGAAGTATCGAATTTATGCTTTGAATGGATTTTTAAAGACGCACGATTCCTGAACAAATTCACAAAGGCCACGAGCAACATTTTGACGTCGTCGGTGTTGTTGCACCAACAGCTTCGTTCATCAGAGAGAAAAGTGTTATTTATGGAATTATCTAATTGAAATTTCTGTATATTATTTAATAAATTTTGTTTATGGTGCATGCCATTTTTTAACTTTATAATATTATTGAAACAAAAAATACAGATGTATCTAAAAATCACTTGTCAATATATTGTCTTTTGAATAAATTAGTGAGTACCAATATTTAATTCTCTCAGGCTGATAATATTAAACAATTAATTACCCCTTATGAGGTCAACATGGTGAAATAAGGACCCGAGACCTGGCCCTCGAGATGACCTGACCTGACCGAGGCCGCGTAGCGGCCGAGGTCAGGTAAGGTCAGGTCAGGTCAGCGAGTGGGCCAGGTCGAGGGTCCTTATTTCACCATTTTGAACTCATGAGGGGTAATCAATTGTTTTATTATACCGATATAAGTTAAGACAATTTTTGTAGGCTTAATTACTAAAATAATCAATTGTGTATTAGACTTACGGACTGTTATTATCAGTGTTTCAGCGGGATCGGGATTCGCTAGAGAAGTTGTTTACTTTTCGCCTGTAAGTCTTGTTAGTTTTTGCACCGCCGATTTATTAAAACACTCTGTGATTGTCAGTAACATGCATTTTTATAAATTCACAAATACCGAGTACAATGACAATCTGATGCAGACTTTTACTGTACAAAAGAGCCTGCATTCGTTGAATTTGACATTGTAACGAAAGTTTCAATGAAAACGATAAATTTTATGACGCATCTAACAGGTTGGGCACATTTCCTTTTCTCAATAACTGTTACGCTAAAAGGGAATTGTTACCTCATTTCAGTAATAAAAATCATTACTGTATACGTGAATTTTCGTAATTTTTAAACTAATGCCCAAATCCGTGTATTAATTAAAAAGTGCATAAAAAATACGATATGATGTGTTTAAACTTTATTTAACCAACCTCGCTGACAAAAAATTTCGGTCCTTTAGTGCTGCTGACGGGAGGAAGATGAGATTAAATCGTACAACATCATGCGTATTCTTCCAACGGATGTGAATATTTCCCTTATAAGTATATTATTATTAGTTCAAAAACGGAAAATTTCACAGCTTTGTTTTCATTGAAGTGACATCTTTCGAACATGCATAGGAATTTAAACTCACGTGCAGCAGTAATCCACGACTTCTACTTAAATTTTCCCTGTTGATAAATGATACAAAAAGTATGGAATCTTACAAGGGCATTCATTCTCAAACCATCTTTGAATGACTATCTTTTAAAACCTAATATTTCATCTAATTATTTTCCTCTGTAAAAGAAGCAGTGGTATTAAGAATTATTTTTACGATGTCTTTGAAAGATATGATTATAAAATTTAATTCGAACGAATAATTTCATGTACGAGTTAGCAATTGCTGAACGTATTCAATCTCACAATTTTAACACAGAAAAGCTTCGGTAAGAAATATATATCGTAGAAATATTTCATCATTTTTTTCGGTTTTTGCAGCGATAAATATTGTAGTTTTAAGCATATATATACACTTAATAGACTATAAATATTTACAGGATGTGAAAATATTCTTGCACTTAATCTTTTATTCAAAGCAAACACGAGAAAAGAGGGTAAACGAGTGAAAATTCCTGTATACAGTAATGTTTTTAAATATGTTTTATGGTGTGACCGTTGGGGCGAGCGCAGTTGTACCATCGAAAAAGCTATAGCAGCTTAATTACACTTGTAACGTTGATCCGCCTCTTCAAACGTCAAACTGCACAAGACACAGTCTAGACTTACGTCACATGACGTCGGAAATTACGGAGACAGCCGAGCGTCTGGTTGAACGAGACTAAAGATCTTGTGCAATAATAAATGAAATACGTTTTAGAGTAGATGTAATCATTTTTTGTTTCTTTTAAGCTCTCTGCAAAGAAAGAAAAGTAAACGTATTTCTCGTTAATGAATAATTATGTTTTGTAAGAATTTCGCATGGAACCCAGGTAGCGAAGGAATTCTGGGAATGCTGCACCAGAAAATTTGCCTGACGTATGTACAGATTTCATTCCGAATTTTCTCTGTTCTTACACGTTAGTCTATTGAGCTCGCTTCGCGAGCGGCGCTTCGCGCTGCTCGCTGCGCTCGCTATTGCTGAAAAGAGGAACAATTTCCTTTTACTGAAAACTGTGCCCAACCTGTCTAAAGGGCAATCCTATTCCGTATCATAAAAAGACTATACATATTTTTAAAACGGCATTTTTTGTAATGAACAGTCATTACCGTATGCAATAATTTTTAAATTTGAATTAAATTTAGATTAACAGGTCATTTTTAGCGGTCATTATTTATAATGATCGGGTCATTATACCCCACGTGCAATGATTCCTAGGTCATTATTGCTGTAAACGGTACTTTTTGGAGTCATTATTGAGTTTAAAAGCCTTCTATACAAGCCAATCAAATTTGAGTATTCTTAATAGAGGTATAATAAACAATTTTGATACAATTTCTTAATTTACATGTATTAATCAATATACTTATACCTCTGACTGAGAATCTCTGGTGTTTTGTCAATGTATTCTTTCGCAATATCACTGTGAAAAATTTTAATGGGGGCGTCCTCGCCAAGTACGCTTAGTATATTTTTACATATGATTGGTTATAGTCTTGATTCAAAATTAATTTTTAAATGACGAAAAAAATGTTATTTATGTTCCAAAAAAATGAATCTTAACCCATTCTTTATGAAAATGGAACATTTCTGAAAAATTATATGCTTCATTTAAACCAAACTGACACAGATAAGAAGACTTCATATTGTAGTAGTTAACGTGTTTAACATTACGCCTTACCTGCAGCTATGGAGAGAGTTCGAGTCATATGTTAGGATTCTAGGCTCTTTTTTCTTTTCAAAAACCATAAAAAATGAAAAATGAATTATTTATCAATTAGAAAATCTAATGTGTTAAAGATGACACTGGCATCAGCATTTTTGAAAAATGTAATTTTTCAATGAACTTTAAGAATTGAGAAATATCTTGTTTCAGGGCATATTGTCCTCGCCTTGAACGCCTTCATTCAAATATTTGGAATGTGTTTAGTTTTTTCATGTCACCTAAAAGAAGTGCTTTTATTTTACAAGGAACAAAAATGAACTGAAATCATTATGGCATTTCCAAATCGTCTTTTAAAGGTTTCTATCGACACAGAAGGGGACAACAATTCTCGTTCGGAAAAATAGGAAGTACACCAACATCGACCCCAAGACTTCTCGAAAAATGGATAGAGTGTGGTGTCAGCCTACCCGGGAGTGACAGGGTCATCCGAATGTAGACCTGGATAGAATGTGCTCTCTATCTATTATGATTTAAAATATAGACAAAATTATGCGTTTTTTTTTAAATGTGTCTATCTGTATTCTTGGTTCAAATAATATTCAAAACCTTTTATTTATTTAGGGTGATCATCCGTTAAATGTTATAGATGGACAAATAATATCTTCAGAAAAAATACGTTTTTATAATATTTAATTTCGTTATATTTAATTAGTTACGAAGTCATCTAGAAGATATTCAATGTTTTATAGTTTGATACTAAATGAATATGAAATTTATTCAGTAGAAAAGAATTTTCGATGTTTTCACGAGTGCAAAGCACGAGTGAAAATCTATAAAAAAAAAAATTCTGTCTCAAGAGTGAAATCCTGTGAAATTGAAAAATGAAGATAACGAACAGTAAATCAAGCTCTCAGTATTGACAGTAATTAAAAGTCCGATGAAACGATACAAGTTTGGAGCAGAGCAAACACGGACCTCAAAATCAGAGGAGGATCAGATGCCATGGAGGAGTAAGCATCCCCTGTCGACCGGTCACACCCACTGTGTTCTCCTTGTTATGATCGAACAAACGGAAAAGTTCGTAAACAATTCACTGTGAAACTAATGGCTTAACAATTTGTATGAAAAACGTCAGCCAACATTTGACATAATGATGGATTGTTTTTGCTGACAAGCTAAAATAAATGCCATATCCAACTACAAAACATTAAATTTTCTAGATCTGTTTATCATCAATTTTTTTTCAACCAATAAACAACACCCATGTTGAAATTATATTACTAAGTGAAAATAAGAAAGTTTAGAAGTAAGGTAGTATTTTTTTTCATTCCGAGTATAGGAGAGTTTAGGCAAAAGTCAGAAAAGTCATTCTATGATAAAAGGACGGATTCGGGGTAAATATCAGGGGAAAAAATTTTTGCTTCAAAAAGCCACTTACATGTGCAATTGAAAAAAGAATAATTTTGTTTCGTTAACTTTTCTACAGCAATTTTGATATCCCAAATGCCATAACCAATGTTACAAAGTTATTCCTTAAACAGGATTCAGCATTTTTAAATAAACATGAATTTACCCTTTTATGTTTTGTTTTGTTTTTGTTTTTTTTTGATTTTTTTGTTTTTGTTTTGTTTTTTTTTTTTTTTTGTTTTGTTTTTTTTTTTTTTTTGTTTGTTTCTTTTTTTGTTGTCATGAACATCGAATGCTATACATGTTACATGATTTTTAAGTCTGGCAAAAATCTGGAATTGATTAAAAATATCAGGGAAAATATCGTTATGGAAGTTAATTTTAAGCAAGAAAAGTTGAAATCTCTGAAATAATGTTGATTAACGTTTGTTTGAAAATGGTAATCAGAATTATTAACTATTTAGCTCCCAAAATAAAACTTTTTATACCTCAAAAGTAAAAACCATTCCTGAATCACTGTTACGGAAGTTAATTTTTTTAAAGATGACGTTTATTCATATGACAAAAAAATTCCACCGGTAAGAATGAAAAACCACCAGTTTTACATTGTAAACCTATGATTGTAGTGTTATTATTCACTTTCAAAAAAAATAGGTCGATGAACTACTTTTCATGCTAGCTAATGGCCCCTGAGTATCTCTAGAAAAATATCTCAATTTTATAACGCTTCATTAACAAAATATAACAATTTACAAAACTCTTTGGATAATGAATTATAATACAAATAGAAAAATTTTACTAAAAATAAATAAACAATTAGAGTTTGAACTTTGAACTTTAAACTTCTTACATGTAATTATTTCAGTCCGTTTTTTTCTCTCTCTCTCAAATTTCTTATTTTTACACATTTTTATCTAATATTATAAAAATCTGAATGATGCGAATTCTAAACTACTTATATCATCATTTTTCTTTTGTTGTCCTTATTATGCTGGTTCTTAGGACAGATGATACAAACAAAAATTTAATGCCTGGATTGGTATTTTTACTTTGACCTATTTCAGTTGTAAATGATGCGAATAATAAATTTCAACAATATTAATAAATTTTCAACTTTCTATGATGTTCAAAATACCTCCTTTCTTCAATCATTCCTTATTAAGCTATACAATTTGTTGTCACTTTAAATCAAATTATTGTGAAATTTAAACGAAATATTAAAATATATTCTGTTAACCTTTTCATTTAACGTCTATTAACATGAGTTAAGTTATTATTTTCATATTTTTTGATAAATGTTTGTTTGTATCATCTGTCTGTAAAATTATATAAGATCAATGATCCAATTCTTTAGATGTGTTTTCTGGAATGGATTTTTTCATATTTTTGAAATTCTTTATTGCATTCCATTCAATTTTTTGAAATTATGCATAAGCTCTAACGCCACTTTATCTGCAAAATAGTGTCCAATAACATTTCATTTCTGTCAGTTCAAACGCTGAGTAAACGTCGTTCCATGTGTACCAATTGCGCCCCGTTGTAAGCAGACCTATTTATATGAATCAGAATTTTTTTCAAAATCTTATACATGAGAAAAATAAATCTCCTGCTGTGGCCTTCAACTCGACATTTAGATATATCGACGACGTATTATCAATTAACAATAGTTATTTCTATTCATATGTCGACAAGATATACCCCAGTACTAGTGAGCTTGAAATAAAAGATACCACAGAGTCTGACACATCTGTATTTAGATATTTTACTAGAAAAAGACGTTAATGGTAATCTAACAACCAAGCTTTATGATAAACGTGATGACTTTAACTTTTCAATCGTCAACTTCCCTTACTTATGTAGCAATATACCCTGCATATAGGCTGTATATCTCTCATCAGTTGATTCGATACGAAAGGGCATGCTCTACGTATGAACAATTTCTTAAACGTGGTAAGTTATTGACAAAGAAGTTGATGAAACAAGAATATCAACAGTCTCCTTTAAAGTCATCATTTGGCACGTTCTATGGTCGATACAATGACATTGTCAGAAAATACAATGTACCATTAATACATATCCTGACTGTGGTTTTTCATACTAATTGTTAGGCCATTATTTACTCATTGAATTGTCGACGGATTTTCCCTTATTTACCGATCATGACAAGGAGCACACGGTAAGGCAAGTGTGACCGGTCGGCAGGGGATGCTCACTCCTCCATGGCACCTGATCCCACCTGTGTTTTTGGAGGTCCATGTTTGCTATGCTCCCGATCTGTATTGTTTTAATGGACATTGAGCTTGAATACTGTTCGTTATCTTTATATTCCACATAGACAGGAATCTGAAGTTGACCTTTGACCTTTTGACCTCAAATCAATAGGGGTGTTCTATAGACAATAGGGAGTTGTGATATAAATTTATTTTTTCCAAAAGCTTAAGGGCTTCTCGAGATAATGAAAGTGCTACACACAGACAAATTGAATTTATTCTTTTGACCTCAAAATCCATAGGGGTCTTCTTTAGGTCATAGAGAGTTGTGATATAAAATTTCATTGCAAAAGCTCAAAGACTTCATGAGATATCGCCCGGAGACGAAAGTGTTACACACAGACAGAAATACGAACAGAAAGCTAGATGGACGGATGGACAGACGGACCCAAATTAATACCACCCTTTTCGGTGAAAGACACAAAGTAGAAGTACATAAAGAATATTTTACATAGTTGCCAGCCTGGAATCCAGACTTAATCTTCTATAATATATCATTTTCAATTGCATAATTAGATAGATGCTTAACAATATTTTCCTTATAAATTGCAAACAACAGAAGTTACTGATATTTGTCTGTAGTTGTATACATAATCTGCAATACCTTGCTTTAATATGATGAATTACTAAGAGAAATGAATGATTTTGCTATGAGCTAATGGATTGTTTGTTTAAAATGTCTTTTCTTTTTTTTTTTTTTTTATTTATTTATTTATTTATTTTTTTTTTTATTGCCCCAGCGATATATAAGATTCGATGGATGGCGCCAAGGTTGGGGAGCCCTGGACTCACCAAACTTACAAGCATAAAATATAGCCAATAGTAATGATGACAGTCACATGGCACTATAGTAAATGAACTACCACATATAATGTACTACTAATATAAACACTGTATATTTTAATATTCAACCAGGACAATTTTTCATTGGAAAAAAAAATAATATGTAAACAAATCCTTTCACACCCCATGCATCCAATATGTGTATGTATTTACCAGAAAAGTTATCAAAATAATGAATAACATAATGGTTTTAAACAAGTACAATTTTAACCAACATTAGAAAACAGTGAAGAAAAAAGACCCCATCTCTTTTCAAATAAAGCCAATTCATTATTCTTTTTATACATAAATTTTTCAATTTTATAATAATGATTGATTTCCTTTTTTGCTCCTTCTATGGTTGGTAGTGACTTACAAATTCTTTTCTTATAAATATGCCTTTTTACTATACATATTAAAAGATTCAAAATAATATGATATTTACCTTCTCTACCAAATATAACATCAATTATGTTTATTTCAGTATTGTGCTCTGTTTTATAATTGATCCATTCTACTAGTTTACTCCATAATATATCAACATATAAACATTCCCAAAACAAGTGGGTTATAGACTCAGGATGCGTACCACAAAAAGTACACAGATCGGAATGCACGATTCCTATTTTCTTTAAATAAACATTAGTACTCATAATTCTATGTACAATTCGATAATGAAACCATCTAAGTTGTACATCTTCAGTGATACTAAAAATCAGTTTATTATGGGTTTTCCACCACAACTGGTTTACATTCAAATCTAGTACATTTTCCCATTTACTTTCATATTTGGGTTTATCCCATTTAGATGAAATTAAAATGTCATAAAAATCTCTTGATCCCTTTTGACTCTTAAAAATTATTCGGAAGAAATTGGGATAATAAGGAGAATTATAAAAAGCATCCTTTTCAGTATAAATTAAATTCAATTTTCTGACGCTTTGTAAGACACCGTGAAATAATGTAAAAGGGGTTGACAAATTATACACATCACAAA